AATTTGTTGCTTGATCTGTTCCAGATCATGCCCTAATGTACCCTTGAACGAAGTAAAAAATTTTATAGGATACGACAATGAAATAACTCACTGATTTTTTTCAGGAAGTTTTGCGTGTTATTCTTTCTCATGATTATTTCATTTTATATTACCTTAAGTATGGTGATCTAAATTATAGGTAATATAAAATATACCTATATTATAGTCAGGATTAGAACTAGAATTTTAGCCAGGCAGTGTAAGCTTAATTTTACATCCCTCGATAGAAGCCAACATTTTATAGCAGTATTCTAAGTAATGTATTTCAAAATAAATACCATCATCAGATAATGACAACTCTTGTCGTTGAACGAATTAGGTTGAAAAAAATTCTCAAAATTTACCATCAAGGGCAAGTAATAAGAGCTTTTTGCCTCTCCCAACCCTGATTACAATCTACAATTAAATCAATCAAGTACTCAATTTGATGATTTATTTTGAGTATTTAAAATGTAAAATAAGATAGTGATCAACTATATATTTCAAATTTGACTTCTTAAAATTTTAAAAATGTTCTTTATTTTCAATTTTAAAATACTTCCTTTGACATTCTGCCCCAATTTCACAGGCGGATCAACAGAGAAGGGGAGGAGGAAGGGCATTTGGGCTAAGGACCCTTCCTTCCAAAATGGTAAAATATAACCCTGTTTTATGTAAAAAAATATTAAAAAATTATCTCTTAAAGTATTATTGTCCGTGTTATAACATTTAATAGGACTTCAAGAATCACTTAAACACCATTTCATATAGTTAGTTAGTTTCTTTATTTTTTTTCCAAAGTAATTATCCTTATATATATGAAAAAAAAACTTTAGGGCTGAAGCCCCTCCAAAATTAAATCCTGGATTCGCTAATGCCCAGTTCTGCTCTAAATCATACTTTTGTTTAGCTAACTGTAGTGCCTGTGTACATGACTTTAGTAACCCAAAAACTATGGATATTGAAAGTTATATAAAAAAGTTAGAAGGTATTTTTATTTTTTTAAATATATAGAATGCAGTAAACTTCAAGACAGGTGCATTACATGTAAAATGCCATTGTGAAGATATAATAAATAAATCATAAAACAAAAATAATAGATTTTTATGAAGATAAAACATAAGTTTTTCTTTCTCATTAAAGAAGATATGTCATAAATTATTACAGAAATTGATAAATATGTGGGTGAGAAAAAAAAAAAAAAATGAAAATAGCAGATTAGTACAAGCTTTAATCCTTTTATAGTATTGCATAACTGAGACATCCCCAGTATGATTCAATGTGACTTCCCAAGAGCAGAACACATTTAAAAAAAAATGTATTTTCATGATTAAATATCTTTATATGGATTTTAGATCTAGGAAATACAAAAAAACACAGTGCAATAGTTATTAAAGATAATAGTTAAATGTTTTAAAAATATGTAAAGTGGACTGCTGTTTTAAAATTATATTGATAGTGATTAATTGTGTTGAATCGTTTTCTAAGAATGAAACATTGGCGATGGAGATCTCCCAAAAGACAGCATGAGAATGTTCTATTAATAAAAATACATTATAATGAAAGTATTTTTTTTCTCTCTACATATGATTAATTTATTAATTTTTTGAGGAGACATGCTGACACCCCTTTAAGCAGTGGTAGGGAAATTCCCCTAGGATTATGACAATAATATCAGTTTCATATTTAATATCAAGTCTGAAATAAATGCGAGATACTTTCAAGTATAACAAAAATACATTTTAAAACTTTCAAAACTACAAATGGACCACAATTAGTTGCGAGGTTGAGGGCAATTCATGTGACAAAAAGCTGAAACTCATTTGTTTTGTACCTAATTTTCTGATATATCCTAAACTCCCTGTGTACCAGATCCAGGAACGAGTGCCCTGGATTGAGCACTCCTATCTTAGATGAAATAAAGTGTTATCTTGTGTTGGAAGCGAGAAATAAATAACACAGAACCTTAATATTTATCAACTAATTGATTTCTATTTGAAATGTATGGGAGGGGGAGGTTTATATTTATTGCAAAGGTAGATTTGACAAAATAAAATGTACTGGAGAATTCCTTTGGTAAATTTTATTAGACCAAACTAAATATTTTGGAAAGAATGATAATATTTCAAGCTATTTCTACAATATTAAAGAAGTATTTGAATAATTTAAAAGTAACATCACTGCAGATAAAAATGAAATACAATGATATATAGTCAGTCATTTTTATCATTATATAAAAAATAGTATACATATAATCTTTTTAATATAATTTGTATATATATATTTATAAGAAATAACTAATATTAGATTAAAAATTATTATCTTTGGCTCAACATGGAAACCATTCAACATTTCAACAATTATGTCTAGTTAGTAAAAGAAAATATAATATAAAATTGAATTCCAATTGGAATAACATAAATAGATAAAGATTACTTTTCCAATAAAATATATAGCATTGATAATAGTTTAAATGGCACCTATAATTGCAAGATTATTAACCTACAAAACTGATATTCTAAAATTGTACAGATAACAGATACTATAAAGATAAAATTTTAAAATACATACAGTAATTTTTTATTGACAGGTAAAACATTGAATGGAAAGCTTAAATACAAAGAATTTATTTTAATTTTACAACAATTAAGATGTATAAACTTTACAAATAATCTAAGTAAAAAAAAATTGACCTTTCTTCTTGAACAAAATATTTAAGAATTGGACTGGTTTATTTGTTGTAAACAACATGCAGTAAAAAAAAAAAAAAAATCGATTATTTCTTCTAAATTTATAGGTTATCGTCAGAGTTCAGTGTTCATATGTATAGATAAGTGACCACCATATCAATAACACACTGAATGATGTATAACATATTGAATCAAATACATTAGAAATTGTACCAAAAATTAAGCTTCAATATAAGGCAAATCACTAGTTATGGGCAGACTTTTACAGCAATTTTTAAAACAATAAGCTTGACTTTTTTATAATGCCTATGATTCACTCACTAGCAACTACTGTTGCTCCATCACTTTCGCCTCAGGGTATGAAATATTTAACCAAAATAGTGCAGTGTAATTCCTCTTTTGGGTAGTATAAGTGGTTTTATCGGTGAGGTTTGTTGACGAATTATTTTGGAATCTTTTCATCAATTTTCGGCTTTTAAGGTACATTTATCATTTAAGGTGAACTGCGGTTTTCTGACCCTATTGTTTTGAATTTTGTCTTTTTAATTAATATAATTTTTCAATAATCTTTTAAGCCTCACTCCTAAAAAAAAGTTTATTTTCCCTAGTATATTAATATTATACAATGTTGTTTACTAGTTTTGGTCATGAGTGACCATAACTAATTATGACAAGTGAATAATCTGTTATGGTCACTGATCTCAAGAACTGTTTTCTTTTCCTTTTTTGAAGAAACTTCTATAGGATTTCATTTTTTGCACTAAATATTTTAAAATATGCCGTAAAAAATAAAATAAAATGAAGAGGGCTTTACTTAATCTAAAGAAGATATTTTTAAAGGGAAATTAATTTATAGCGTTTAGGTATGGATTTTTAACCAAGATAGTTTTTAAACTTTTGACATAACAAGTCTTTGCCTATGTTAGGATCTATCTTAGCATTGCCAGTCCCAAGCCTGGGTAAAGGAACGTTTCAGCACCTTGTTAAGAAAGCTAAACAAAATAGCCTCGGATTATGGACTGAATGGAAATGACCCGGCACATGTCAATTGGACATATCTTCAATTTATAAATTGGTTTCATGGAATATGAGGATACTCTTCAGACCTGGAGCCTTTGATGAACTTCGACTAGAGTGCACTAAATATAATTTTGATATAGTGGCTCTTCAGGAAGTGCGATGGCTAGGAGTGGGTATGCTTAAAAAGCAAGACTACACAATGTATTACAGTGGAAGTAAAGATCGGCATGAGTTTGGATGTGCTTTCCTAATGAAAACAAATTCCAAAATGCTTTAATGGATTTCCAACCGGTAGATAATCATATTTGCAAGATAAGACTACGTGGGAGCTTATTTAATGTCACAATTATTAATGCTCATGTGCCCACAGAAGATAAAGATGAATATACAAAAGAAAAACTTTACACATAGCTTGAGAAGATTTATGATTCATGTCCCCAGTACAACATCAAAATTATTGTAGGAGATTTTAATGCCAAGATTGGGAAAGAAGATGTTTGTAAGCTAACAATATCAAATCATAGTATAACAAATGACAATGGAGAAAGAATGATCCAGTTTGCAGCTTCCAAAATTTCTGTAGTAATAAGCACAATATTCCCTCATAAGAATATCCATAAATCCTGGTCTCGAAATAAATGTTGGAAAAATGAAACCAATGGTTGTGGAAAAAATCAGACGACAACACCCACCAAGCTATGAAATTGCCAGAGAAAACATAAAATTTGTGTCGGCTTTCCCATACCTAGGATCTTTAATGACAAATGAATTAGACGAAGCTAAAAGAAGGATCCTAGCAGGAACTAGAGCTTATTTTGCACTTAGGCACATAGTTGAAAGTAACATTATATCTCGTAAAGTTAAAATTCTTAATGATGTAGAGATGGTTGACCGTTGATATAATATGAGAAGGAGTTGATCGGGGGGTGCGGTCAAATTAATACTAAATTAAATAAGTTGAATTATTTAATTTTTGCCGATGTTTCCACCCACTTTGTAGGTCTTCATCAGGGCTACAAAAGATACAGAACTAAAAGATGATATCAGAGATATAGTGGGTGACAATGTAGTTAAAATATCAAATATATTAAAATATGGAGCATAGCGAAGTAGGAAAAATAGAGAGATTTATGATCTTTGTAACGATCTTTGATAGTCAAATGTGATAAGAATGAGTAGACTGAAATGGTATAGCCCTGTCAACCAAATAAATGAAGAAAGACAGGTGAAGAAGGTCTACACAGGGAGAATCTTTGCCACTAGACCAAAGGAATGACCAAGGGCAAAGGGCACAATGGAAGAGGACATGCGACAGGCAGGCATTCGGATGGTGGAGGACAGAATTCTATGGCAACAGACGTTAAAGCAGGCCAAGGATCACTTCGGTCTGTAGTGCCAGAAGAAGAAGACATACTGAGTACCAATTATTTATTTCTTTTATTATAATTAGCAAAACCAAAATTGAAATTAAATCGAATAATAAAGGTTATAGTGTTGACTAATAACCCAGCTTATCAGATTCAGAAGAGAATTTGTTAGAAAAGTGTATGTTTAGTAGCTCTTAATGAGCACTACTGAAATGAAAAATGGATTTAACTGAACATTAAGATATCATCTACTGATTAAAATCAACAATGTAAAGTTAAAAACAGTATTCCCAATGAATGATATCAGGGATTTTTTTTATTCTACATTAGCATCCAATTATTTCCATTAGAACTACTGAAGCAACAAAAATAGCCAGCTCTTATGTATCTGATGTTTTGTCTCATCCTTCATCTATCATTTAAATAGAGAGGATTCTGGATTAATGTATTTTAAATCAATGGACCCAAAATAAAGCACTTGCTCTGAAAGGAAGTAAAAATGTTTATAGAATAGAGGTGAAAAAGCCAAAGCCATGGGTCCAACTTTTAACAAATATATTTTTAGACTATGTTAATATTACTATATTTTTAAAGTTTTGGTTCTTAATTAATTTTTTAATAACCTTAAAAGATTGCCAAGTATAGATAGTAATTATTAAAGAACAAAAAACCATTATTTAAAACATTTTGTAGCATGCTCATAAATTTTATTAGCAATAGAATTATTTGATAGGAAAATATTTCATATTTGCCAATTTTACATTCCATAGAACTAGCAGTCGTGATTCTAAATGTGTAACAAAAAATGTTATCTGACAAACTGTGTAGGCGATACCACTTTTTACATCAATCAACTATGTCCATAACCCATGATTTATCCTATATTTAGTTTTTTTAAACAAGATGACATCATTTCATGATATCCGAACACATACTCTACTATTCCTGTTTGGATTTTTCCAATTATAACTTAATAATAATATTTACATTAGTTCACATTATATTAATGTCAAGAAAATTTGCATTGGTTCTACAAATACCCACCTATTTTGGTTTATTTGTCTTATATAGCACCGTTTACTGGATTTGTTATATCCGAAACAAATTATCTGAAATTTTTTATTTTGAGTACTTTTATAATTGGAACTTTCTTTTTTTCTGAAAATTAAAAGTTTTATTGTACAAATACATTACATAAGTTTAAGAAAGATTCATAATTTTTATTACATGGCTTAAGATGCATTTGTTATAAACAAAAATTAAAGTTCTTTTTTAATTTTAACTTTATATTCAATTTTATTTTAAACACATTTACATAATTCATACTTAGGAAATCTACACAACAAAACTTTTTATTACATCTTCTAAATAAATTAAATGTCAAAAACTTATTAAAATTATATATATATATTAAAATCCATTTATATGCCTATGTAAAAATGTAAATATATATATATATATATATATATATATATATATATATATATATATATAAAGTCAAATCTCTATATATCAAATATGAAGGTTCCAGGAAAAAAAAATTGATAAAAACAAAAATTATGATTTTTCATCTTTGTCATAATAAAAACGATTAGTTATATTTTATGATTAAAGAAGTACAAAAGGCAAAATTTTAGGATTTTATAATATATTAAAGGCTATTTCTCTTAGAGTACTGATGACAAAAAGGTTTGATGGCAGATGAAATGGGCCTATTCATCAATGAAGAAAAAATTAATTATATAAGAAAAGGTGAATCTACAACCAATGAAATCCAGGAGTTTGTAAAAATAGAAATCCTTTCAAATTTGAGCAAGTGGATAATTTAACTTACCTGATAAGCATTTTAACCACCTCTAATATGTGTTTCTGGAGATAAAAAGTGAAGAAATAAAAAAATAATTAGCCAATAGGTGCTATTTCGGGCTTCAGAGACATCCAAGGAGCTCATTTTTATTCAGGCAAACAAAATAATTTATAGAACATCTTTATTAGACTAGTGCTCCAATATGCCTTCAAAATTTAGATCATATCAAGTACTTACGGAAAAAGAATTGCTGTCTTTGAAAGAATGCTACTTGGTATAATTTCCATGGCAATTAAGAGTAAATTAACAATGAAGAAGAAGTATGAAATGTTGTAGGAACTTGACATTATTACAAGGATAAAAATTAACAGATTTAGGTTGGCTGATCATATTGCTAGAATGAGCAAGGAAGATCCAGCTAAAAATTGCTAGAAGGAAAGTATATTCTGACTTTCCTTTTTACCAAATGAAAAGGCAGAGATTGTGATAGAAATAGTAGGGTAAGATGATGCATATTTTGAACTACTGTCACTGGAGTGTAAATAAGAGATACAGCTACTTGACAAAGGCTCCTTAAGGAGGCTAAGTATCCCACAGGGTTACAATGCCTTATTATTATTATGATTCAATAATACCTTATAGATTTTATCAAGTTTTATGGATTCTAACCATTTTCGATTTACTTCATAATTTTAAAACATAATAATAACCAAATCAAACTTTTTGTAAATTTTTAATATCCTATTTGTTGTAACTTTCTTTTATTGATATATTTTTATTTTTATTCCGTTTTTTATACATTATATTAAGTTGAACTTTTAAAGAAAAGTTAATGAATGATGGTTTTTATTTAGGAGTTATTTTAACAAGAAAACTAAATTAAACTGAAAATTTCATTCTATGTTAGAATACAAATTAAGAGAGTCTCGCCCTCATGGTTACTACAATTGCTTCCACTTAAGCAAGGTTTTCTCCTAATTTCTAATACTTTGTGAAATAGTGAAACATGTTCTTTTTTTTTCAATTATTATGAAATGAAAAATAATTTTATTCTGGGACTAAAGTCCCCTAAGAATAATAATAACATAATACAAAAATTATCACTGATTCTTATGAACATAAATTAAGAACCCTCTTTGATGGCCTTGACATTTTGTATATTTTTAAACATGTTTTTTTTTCTTCGATATATAGAAATTTTATTCGATAAACATATTTTTCTAATAAAAAAAATTGCTATAATACATGTATTTGCTGTATAATATAATTCCTTTAAGGAAATTTCACATAAACAGAATTCTAAACCATGAAACAACGGTAAATTACATTCTACATGGTTAAATTACATAGTTCTACAAGATAAATAATGATTACAAATACCAGTCCACTGAAGTAAAATCTTTACCATAGTGAACCATTAGATATCACATTCCAGTTTTTAATAAAACATAATTTTAGAGAGATTGCACTGTTCTTTGATTCAGATCTTTAACATTCCAAAGAACTGTTTTCCATTTCAGAATATTGCACTTTTCACCTCACAAAATCTAAACTTAAGCCTCTTTAACAAAAGAATAATGAAGAAAGAATGTCTTCTGCAAGGTATACCATAAACTCATTTCATCTTATAGCTGTACCTCCTACTTCTCAAGAAACATAACTAACCTAATAAGACTGGTTATTGAACTAAACAAATTTGAAGAAAGTATTTGAAAGAGAATTGTTTTGTTAATGAGACTCATCAGGAACAAATTAAGAAGAAACTTTAGACCTACAGTGATGGCTTAACAGATGATAGACTGCCCACACTATAACATTTCTATATATTTTATTGAATTACTATAAAATAGGAGTTATTTGAGTCAATATGAGTTGAAAAGTAATACTTGTTATTAATTTATTTCTTATTAATTAATCCTATAAGTAATGTATGTTTTTCCAACCAGCTATGCTTATTTTCAATAAAAAGAAACTCGTGTTGGCTCAGCACCTGGCTTGTGGACCTCTTACCACAGCCCAACAAAAAGGAAAAACTTCAGTATCGACATAAACATGTCCATTAGACATATGGAGGTTGTGTAAAGTTCTGTTAACGATAAGGTGAAAGTTAATCTCAATTAGAGATGCTGAGGAGAAAGGAATGCTCTATGCTGTATGCTGATAATTGAGGAACATGTAATGCCATTTCCTCTCTACATCAGCGAGGGGTTCGTGCTAATGACAGAGCCCTTAGAGTACATATTGTGGATACCTAACTGTAAATAGGAATTAAGTATTTGGTGTGGCCAGCTCAAAGAACGGGTACAATGGCAGAACCCAGGTCCAAACAACCTTAATTAATAGGAAAAATATTCTTCAGAACTTCATATTAAAAAAAAAATTGTTTTAAAATTAGGTAATAAATATATATTTTTTTAAATGAATGTTTACTACCAATTTTTTTTTTAAATATGCAAAATATGAATAAACCTAATTAAATTAAAATGTAAAGCTGACGTTTTAATGTTGTCCATCACAGAAAATTGTGGTTTTCAATTGGTTCTTGAACATTTCTTGATTTTTCATTGAAAATTCTTTGGATGATTTCATGTCTATCCGTATAACTAAAAAATAATAAATTTTAAGAGTACTTTTAAAGTTGTAAAAATAAAACAGACAATTTTGTCTATTTTCTAATGAAAAAACTCCTGCTTTTGAATAGATAATAGATATGAAATCCAATAAATAACTGAATTATCATAAAACTATCTGAAATGAGTTTCTTTTTGAAGTAACTAAACTACTGTGCCAGTGAAATTTATAAACAAACATAAAGCATGACGGTAAATTATTTTCTTTAATAATTAAAAAGTCAAAACTTTTAAATAAAAAAATATTTTTGATCCAACATTATCTATTTCAATCCTTATAGTAACAATATCCCAAAATGGGTGTCATACAAACAAATACAGAAGAAAAAAAATATTTTAAAAAACCTAAATACTAATAATTACAATAACATAAATGCTATAGGAACATTATGTTATATTTTTAAAATGTAGATAAGAGGAATGTGTTAGTTATGTGTCTGACCTCAAAGATTAGTGTTTTGAAAGGATTCAATAGTAGGACATATGTAGGCAATGATTTTTAGGAATATCAGCATTGAATAATCTTCTTGTTTGACAGGCCTAATTATTGTCATAAATATTATAACTTGAGTAAAATGAAGCAAAAATTAGTAAAAAATATTAAATCAATGCTAAAATAGGGACATCACCTAAATAAGTTCAGAAATCAAAACTTATATAAAATACGGAAGTAACAAAGAAAACTTACTTCATAAGCGTAGGTTCTTTATAGAAAATAAAGTTTTTGATTTTGAATGTTTGTCTTCATTAGGAAACCTCCTCTTATAGATTCCTGGATAACAATTTTTGAACTATAACAGGAAAATGAACAATACTTTAATAAAAATATAAAGATGTATACATTTTATAACATTAATAAAATAAAAAGAAAACATTATCATTAAAATAACTCGTAATATAACTTTGAATATCAAATATTGTAACTAGAGGAGACTCCTATAAATAAATTGTAAAAATATTTGAGGTAATAAATTAGTTTGGTTTATTCAGATGGTATCTAAATAAATACTAACATATTCATTTAATAGGAATCCTTTATTTATGACACCGGCAAGTTGGTAGAATATATAGTAGTAGTAAATCAAACAATTTATAATTTTTAATAACTAATGTCAACATAAGCAGTTTCAAATTATTCAATTTATTTTCTCGAAAGACAAGTGTCAATGAGATATATATTATTGATAATAAGAAAATTAAGCAGTAATTTGATATTATACAGGCAAAAGTTTCGACATAAACATGTGGACCATCTTTCAGGGCTAAAATTAAATTAGAAATATAAGATATATAGATATCAATAAATCTTTGATTACTTTCCATCATTATTAAAGGTGATAACCAATGTTTTTCCCCCAGTTCATGCTATTTGAAATATTTTTAGCAGCATACCTCATAAGATAAATTCAATAAAGTAAATTAGAATTACCAATTTCAAATGTTTTCTTTTTTCTTTTTCAGAAATATTTTTATTCTGAAGGATGTGATCTAATAGCTGTGTTAGTGAATCCCTGGATTCTTCATTCTTTTTTATATTTAATGAATCTTTGACAGATTGATTACATGATGAAACTATCTGAAATTATATAAAACAACTACTTATAATTTATGGTATATTAATGAAGAAACAACATGACGATTAAATCTAAGCAGAAATAAAATATATGCAATCACTCGAAAAGTATTGATTAAACATTCACACAAAAGTTCTTTTACGTTTAGCATTAATAATAACTACTGAAGAATCCCCAGTTTTCACACCAATGAACTACAAGTTCTGCTTATATACGTTTTTCTAAGCAAGAAAACAGAAATATAACCTAGTGTTTGCAATTAATCAATTGTTTACAAAAACATTGAAAATTAAAAGAAAAAATGAAATGATTACATATCTAAGCAACTAAAAGTAAAGCTATGAAATGAAAATATTTTAAAAATAAAACTTGTCCCACAATTAAATCATCAACTAGCTATATTTTTTAAGATAAACAAATCCCTATTTTTTTTTTCTTTTGAACAACTTTATTAGTAAATTATCAGCAAACTTAAAAATATACCAAACAGAAGGATACTAAATAATGTTGATTTAGTCATTGATCCAAAATCCGACAATTTTTCTATTTATTAATGCATAAAATTACAAAAACACCGTTATTTTAAGACCGTTAATATTTCTATTGATTCTAAAAACAATATTATAAAACAAAATATATAGAATATAAAATAAGCAAAAATGTTTAAACCTTCAATTCTTTTTCTTGCAATTCATTTTTTATATTGGATAATAAATCAGTAGGTAATTCAGCAAATACAGTTTTGTAGTTTATAACAATAAAAGTTAATATATTATTAACTGTTGAAATATCATAAGTATCGATATCAACTGCTTTAACTATGCAACCTTCAAGTTTTAATAACATCTGAAACAACATATATTTATAAATAAAATAATTTAATATTTTTATACTATTAAAAATAAATTTAAAAAATATGTTGTGGTTGAGAGTATGGCGGGCTGAGGGCTGATGGAGTAGGAAGCAGAGAGAAGAGGAGGAACTGACTGAGGGAGGATTGTGGCTGAGGGAAACTTCAATTTATGAAGAAACCCTTAAATAAAAATTTTAAAAAATTAAATACACAAAAAATACCACATAAACAACATGTAACTTCATGGACCAATTCTACATCTCAATTGTGATGAAAAAAGTAACATAATTGAGATCCACCGCACGCTGACAGTCTTGCCATTCAGTCCAGGAATCAAAATGAATGGCAGATCTTGCTTCAGGCGACCGTGACCCATCACAGGTTGTAGACCCGTGGAAGAAGCGAAGAGGTGAAATTAAAATAATATAGAGGGTAAATTTTGAAAGAATAATAATTCACTTCCAGTTGGGTTTAGAAAAAAATGTTATGTACATAATGTTACATAATCTTAACCTGTTTAAGATTGGACATAACCATTTTATCCATGCCGCTCTAAAAAAGGATAAATTTAGCTTAAACCAAATAAAGTTCAAAATTTTAATGGTTATCGGAACACTACAGTGAACCCAAAAGGCGTTCAAGGGCAGAAACTTGGATTTTTTATATTCACTACATACCTAACAATATAAAAAAAGGCAATTTGAATTACCCGACCTTTTGCAAGGTAACATGTCTAATTTGACTGGGCTATAATTTATTATTTTGGTCACTTTCTAATAAAGAATGGCCATTGACTACTTTTCATGCAATTGAAGTTCTGAAAATGAACATTAATCCACAATATCCAATAAATATGGAATAACATTTATAATATTAATATACCATTAAAATTAAGTGAATCTAACAATTATTAAAGATATAAGTTATACAAATGGTGTGAAATACTTACATTATCTAATGATAGATCAGGAATTGATAAATTTCTTGAAACTTTATACAAAAGTAGACACAAATATTTTAATTTGGCTCGACTGGAAGGAGGAAGAAATATCAAAAGTAACTGAAAAATATGAATTCCTAATTCAGTAACATTTGGATCCCATTCCATTTCTTGAGAATGATGTGATTGAGAATTTCCTAAAATGATTTATTAATTTATAATGTTGATACAAAAAAAAATTATTTATTTATAATAACTTGGATAATAAAAAATGAATTATTTAACTTGCCATAAGAACTTTCTACGTCACTTAATTCTAATTGTGATTCTGACAAAGCTGTATGAAACGAATGATCATCGTCGGACATTGACTGATTATGCTGTGTTACCTTCATAAGATTATTTAATGACTCTAATGCATAATTGTAATCCAGATTATTTTGGGCTAGTAAATTTATATCTTCTAAAGAAAATGACAATCCATGATTTACATAAATAAAATTATTGCACTGATATTCATTCTCTTTATATTTTATATCTTGTTTTAGCTGCTTCCTTTTATTTAAAAAATCATCACTTTTATTTAAAAAAGGGATATGATTCTCTGCTTGTTTTCCTTTATCAGGTGAAAAAACTAGAAAACCTTCATTCACTATCCCTTGCTTAACTTCAGAATACTTATTGATAACATTATCAATTGATTTTAAAGGCATCAAACCGGTTTTTAATTTATTTCTCTGAGAGTTATAAGAAGAAAGGTAATGTGTGTCTTTAAGTTTTGGTATAGAGTTTTCACTATAAGCCATTTTAAGTCCTTTATGACTACTGTGCTCATTTTTCTTTAAATGAATACTGTCTACAGAACACTGTGGGACAACTCTAATGGTAGGATCATCTGAAGTAAATGCAGCTTCATAACAATGATTTGGAGGCAGAACATTATCTGGAAGGTACATATTAGGTTTTCTTTGCTTGATTTCATCCCTAAAATTTATGGTACTCTGAATACATTTCTGTGGGCTTTTCACTGCCTCAATACAATTCAAATACTCTAAATGATGAAAAACTGCAGCATATAAATTGTAATTTAAGTCATCTATAAGTGGTACATCCAATGTTTTGAAATAATCAGTTATAACTTGAAAGGCATCCATTTCAAAATTTGGATAAGAAGTACCACAATAATCTTTAGAAGTATCTGAAATATAAAATAAATAATATAAGTTATATTGATAACATAATGATTCATAAACATTTATTTCAACTAGTATGTCTCTTATAAATACAGTATAATTTTAACAGGCACTAATTGTTAACCATATTTAAGTAAAACAATTAACTAAAGCAAATTCAATCTCAATAAAAATAATAAATAGAACATTGGATAAAAAAGGATAGGTAAGAAAATAATTCAATGATTGAACATAGAAAATGATTTCGTAAAACACATGGAATAAAGCATAAATGCTAATACTTTAAGCTTCAACCATATAGTATTAGCCATTAGTATTCAACCAAAGCTTCAATTATATAATATAAAACCCAGTGAATATTGAAAAGTTTTTAAAAATTGCAATCCTAAGCATAAGCAGCTTTTCACTAATTAAGTAACACTGCAATAAGTAGAAAGGATTCAGCTGTAAATGCTATAATGTTAATAGAGGGTGGGAGATTATATATGTAAACTAAGAAGGGATTAATGCTCTGTGGTGTTCTATTAAATTATAGTGATTTTAATTATCATAAATCGATCAACTTGTGGTATACTATAATAGTTTGATGAAAATTAACTGTTAAAGTGGCCACTGATGATCACTCCAGATGGAGTAATGAATCCATGAAGTGGAGAAATTAGAGAGATTATTTCAATGGCTCTACTGAAGATGACTGCACTTCATTATTCACATTTTCACTGTCAGGTAGTGTTTAATGCTTCTATACGGCCAATGAATTTCTCATAATTTTTTTTAGATCAATTTTGCTAATCCAAGTATTAAGACCTGGGAAAAAATAAAATAAATTAAGCAATAGAGAGTGCTGAGAGAAGAGGGTAATTCGAAGTACATTAAAATTTTTAAGGTACACTGGACTGGTCCTGGCACTTGAGGTAACTTTGCAGAGGAAGGATACCGTTCTCACCACTCCTGAAAGGTTTTTGAGATCTCTCACCTCTGGAGCTACAAACATTTTCCTTAAAATTCCAGTTCTGCAAGTTGGTAACGGTAAAGTGTCCTTTGATCCTCAGTCTAGAAATTTTCTTGAGAGGCACATTAGTCTCGGATATCCTTTAATTTGGAACCATTATAACTCTTATATATATAGTGCAGAATATGAAATGGATAACTGCAGAGAGAACTCTCACGATTCTGGCATCTTTCAAATCTGATATATAAAAGTATAGACAAAGTCACACTACAGAGTTTTCTTCTTAACTCCAGTTAAAGAAAAATGCTTCAAATTTGAGAAGAAATACATGACTGAAAGAGTCGCACCATGACAAGGAGCCATTGACCATCACACCAAGAACTCTTATTTTTTCAGATCTATAATCCAGAAACGGACATGATCTGATCCAAGGTCATCAGAAGAGACAGTGAAACACATCAATCCGTGGTACAGACCCCTTTTTACCAAATTATTAACATTGCCTAAAATTTCATGAATGGCTTCATCTTATTGTAATCTATAAACTTTTTATCTACAAAAATTCACAAAAAAGGAATGTTTCTGGTAATGCAGACAACCACATTTTTTGGAAATGCAAAAGCACAAATCAACAAATATGAGAATTTAACCGTGTATTATGGGTTAAAACTAAAATGATCCACAAATGCACACAATCTCAAAATTGAATATATTCTTAAGAACTACACCTCCAAAAATATAATAGATCCTTCTACAAAAAATATCCAAATATCTATACACAATTTTTAAAAAAACTATGGCTGGAAAAACATAATAATGAACAATTATATCGAATAAATCATTAAAGTTAAAATATATCAATACCAGATGGGTTAATATCAAAATTAATGTTATTTTTATAAAACTAAACCTCCAATAACATAATAATGGACCCTTATATCGAAGAAATTTAAAAATGTAAAATACCTAAGTAGCCAATCTTAAAATCAATAATATTTTAAAATTTATATTATTCACATTTTGAAGTTATATTATCAGCACTCATAAAAGGTAGCTGCAAACCTTCATTTTCTGGAAACTGAAATGAACTATCACGAATTGAAATTCGAAAACCGATTATCTCTCTCCTCAGTGCATGGGTGTTTCACTGTTCAATTCTTTCTTGTTAGTACTAAAATGTCTCATAAAACTGATTATTTGAAGGGGAGTTTAAACTGTTATATTTCAAATCAATGATATTGATATTAGTTTTATTCAATAGATAATGAAATTAAAGTGATATTTTGTCATTCGTTTTAACATATTTTAATTGTAGAATAATTTTGAAATAGTAGTAACATGTAATTAAGACTATAAAAAACTGGATTAAAATTGTATTTTGTCATTCATTTCAGCATGTTCTAATAGTAAAATAATATAAAATAGTAGTGATATGCAATTAATACTAGGTTAAATTGGATTAAAATAATATTTTGTACTTCATTTCAAAATATTTTAATTTTATAATAATATAAACATATTTACAAACAAACATTCATATTATACAGATATCTATATTGCATATAAACAAATTTATGGACATATGCATAACCATAAAATACAAATAGAGAGAAAAATACTTTATTTAAAGCAGTGCTGCCCTACTAAATAGGGTTGCTCGATACACAGCATACTCATCAATTTTTTTTTTTTTTGGAAATAGAACTTAATTATACTTGAATCACAAATACCTCCTTTTCCATTCCATAATAAAAAAAAATAGGGATGAGTTTTAACTAAAAATCAACTGGAAATCAAAAGTGGGTTAAGTGATAAAAGAAAAAAAGTCAGACCTAAAAAAGCAAGCTACGTGCCATTTCCTGGAACCTAAATGACACAATCAATGATATCGGTTATATTTAGCTCCTGTTTAGGTTGTTGATAATGGCATTTCACTGACTTTTTTTCAGGTCAAACTTTTTTTTATCATGCCTTTACAGAAAAAAAAATTCAATTATTGCCATTGGTTTCCTCAACATAAGAATATATTATCGTATGAACGCATAAGAATAATTCATGGGTAGAAATCAGGGAGTTGTCTTTGAGGTGAGAGTTTTCTGGAGCAATACTGTATGAAAATCTCAGAACACCTAATTCTGCAAAAACAAATACTGCATCACTGATCAATTTCAGGCATAGTGGTAAATGCCATGGAGATGGTGATCAAAATTTGTCAGCAATGTGTTCCCTCAGGGAACTTCCCTGAATGGTTTTTTTTTTTTTTTTTTTTTTTTCAGTGACATTGGAATCCGAAAAGATTAATTTTTTTTACTGGCAATTTTATACAAGACATGACCAGCTTATGATCTTGGCCTTTTTTCATAGCTCCTCTAAGAATCACCATGAATTGATTTCCTAGACAGGTAAGATGTGCCAGCACCAGATTCAAAGATCTAAAATAAAAAACATTTTCATTTAAAATAGCTAAAATAATTTTTTCCAACTAACTTATTTTTATAATTCTTTTTATGGCCACCTTCACTAAAAATTCAAGAGGAATCATGAAACTTACTTTATCATGGAAACTTATTTTGTTTGTTCCTTTTATTCATCCTGTAATCAAGATCCATAAATCTCAATCTTGAAGGTGCTGGATTAAAAAAGTTTTACTGGAAAAGGAAGTTAGGCCCATGTGGTGGGGCACTAAAGTTTAATAACAGTTCTCCATAAAAGGTTATATAATATAACCTGAATCTGATACGGAAAATGTAAGCAATCAGGAATCTAACTTGATTCCTTCAGCCACTTCAGATGTGACCATGCATAACAGCTATGCTTAAATAATGTTACAAAAATAACTTTGAAAGTAGCACATTAATTATGACTATTATTTAGTTTAAAATTAAACCTGTTCATGAAATTGATAATATCTTTATATTATTTCTGAATATATATATTTATATATATATATATATATATATATATATATATATATATATATATATATATATCCCTTTTCTGGCTCTCAAAAGTGATGGATTTTGACAAATGAGGTATAATAGAAAGGGAATATCACGTAGAATGCACGAATCATAATTTTGATTCCTAATTTTATATAAGGACTTAAATAAAAGTGGAAAGTTTCAAACCATGTGATGGTGCAATCTCAACGAATCGAGATGTTACAAATGAATTTATAATTTGCAAATAACTCGAAAAATCTACAATTTTTGGCCCATCATACATTTGAGTATTTGAAAGCTTACCAAATTTCCTACAAAACATTAAACAAAATCATCCAAACTGGGCGATGTGGTGCAGAGTGATAACGTTCTGAACATTTAGTATTTGTTGTTCTGCAAAGATTCTGTTGCATATGAGAATTTAAAATTCTGGAAATTGTCCCTTTTTTCTGAGGTACAGTATATAATGTATCAATTAGTAATTATTTTTTAAATTTCAAAATATCTTATTTTTTAAATTTATTAATTTTGTTTATATTTATATAAATGTGACTTCCATTTGGAATGTTTGTCAATGTGCAGTAGTTACATTAGTTTTTACTTTTACATCTCTATTATTGAAGTTTAACATTTTTAAAATACACTTTCGATATTTTTTTAACGATAAAGTAATACATCCTGATTGGTCTAACTATTCCTTGCTTTGAATTTGAGCCTTTTTTCTTTTGCCATCATCAGATATTCAAAGCAATGTTTAGAAGCTTTTGTAAATTTATAATAATCCCACGAAAGAAAAAGCTAATAGTTAAATTATAAGTTTAAGCAAACGTAATGGTTAAACCATGGTAGAGTGTAAATCATATTTGTATACTTCTAGCTTACTAAATATATGTATTCTTAATGTATTAAAATCAAATACAAATATTAGGTTTCTGTGGAGTATTCACACGGGTCACCTAGTAACTATTAATGATTATTTTTTCTTATATAAATATTAATATTCATAAGTGTTATTCCATATAAAAACATTAAATCTTTTTGATTTATAATATCATTTTTATGTTTTTTTCTAGGGTTCATTAATATAAAATATATTAATCAGGAGTGGAATATTTTATTACACTTTTTAGAAATAATATTAAACCACACATGTAATAATAATTATTTAGAAATTAGTCCACAACATCCCTTCTCCCTAAGAAGAGAAGCAACAATGTACTTTATAAATGTAGAGATATAGAACATGCAAAATTTTACATACAACAGAATTTTAATAAACACCACAGGTTTTAAACAATACATAAAATAAAAATAATAACTAATAACAGCAAATAGTCGACAAAAATTATAATCAATTATCAGTAGGGAATACAAAAAAAAATCAAATCAAATGAAAAACTTACATTTTATGAGATCATGAATAGCAGATAATATCCAATCAGGTAGCTCAGTATTCCATTTTAACTTTTGAAATTCTGGATCAGCATTTATTTCTACCCATGACGAATTAACTCCATCGAAATCCGTAACTTTATACATATCAAAAGGCTTTATTAATTCAACGATCCTAGAACAGAAAATAAATAAATTAAAAAAACAAAGACACCAGTCATAATAAACCTACATATTTTGAACCAAAGAAGCAGTGACTTATCATTACACAACTGTTTTATTTCTGTTCCCATATGAAAGTAGTTATAGTTTTAAGATGACAACAGTATTAACATTAGTTGTTTTATACCTTCTGTTTTTTTTTTTAAATTGAGATAAAAAATGTTTTATTTTAGATGATTTCAAAAAACATATTGATTGAAGAAACTATAATGTTGAAGAGGGGTGATCAGTCAATATAAAAATAAATAATTATAATTATTTATTTTTAGTGATCAACCCAACCATCCTTTTCTTCAATCATTCACTACAGTCAACCATCAACCCAGAATTATGAAACTACAATATTATTTGTTGAAGGAAAAAGACTTATTTATTAAAGGAAAATTTTCACAAGATGGCCTTGTATAATATCATAAAAACATTGATGTCAGTACTGCTACTTTAGTGCCACTCAAAACTACTGACCATTTCATTTATTGCTGGTATAGTCAGATGATGATTTAATTAGTTGTTCAAAGATGAATAAATTCCAAAATAATTGAATATTTTGGGTCTTGTACAATTTCTGTATACTTTTTATATTTTTTTTCATACTCTTCCCCCTCTCCATGTAATCATACTATATTTATTCTTGTATTTTCTATTATTCTCACATCTTATTTTTCTTAGCGCTGAAGGGGGATTGTAAGAAACATGAACACAGATGAAACAGTGTACTATGTATAGTTTTATTTTTTATTGCACTCCTAAGAATTATATTATTGATATATCTATGGTCTATATCTCCAGCTCTTTTTTAATATCTTATTAAAAATTTTTGTCAAATATTTGTTTTAATTGAAAAACCTGTGTACTTTTAAAATTACATAACTTTTCAGTTAAAACTATATAACCTATATAAACTGATTGACAAATTTTGCAATATTAAGCAAAGATATGATAGGAAGATAACAAGTCAAGGATACAATATTTTTTATCTTAGATATCTATTAAAACAGAAAATTATCGTTTTAAGGAATGACAAAAGAATTACATTTAAATTGCATAAACCAAAACCCAAAAGAGCAATGTAATAAATAGTGAAGATGAAATTTTATTGTAATTAAGAGAGTGGTTTTGAGATAATGTAGGTTCAGAAAATTATAAGGCCATAGGGTTGCAAGAAGAAGTATCTGTGTTGAAGGATACAAGTTTTAGGTAATTTTTGGTTCTGCCAAGAAGAATTAAAATTTGGACTAGAACAGAGGACATAATTAACAATATTGAGAATAAGGATATTTTTGTTGGCTGATAGGATAGAGATATATGGAATGGGTTTATATTGAAAAATGGAGGGTTACTGCCATGGAGAATTCAGTTTAAGAAAGGGGGGTTGTCCAATGATTTTAATAATTACTAATAAAATTATTAATGTCATCAAGAAGGAAGCAGAGTTAGATAGGATATTTTTTATAGTTTTAGCCAAACTCTCAGTAACATGCACCAGATAGGAAAAGACAACAAAGGAACTTTTTGACCACATTGATTTTTGGGTGATATTTGGTGTTGGGAATGGTAGGTTCAAAGTCTGACAGAATAAATCAATTTTGTAGATAAGTCAGTGGATAGGAAACAAATTACACTGACAGGCAAAAAATTCCACCCACTTCATTTTTTTATGTTTTCATCTAAAAATATTTCATCCACTTGTAAAAAAAGTTGTATTTGTATATAATACATGGTATTTGTAGATAATACTTAGTATTTATGGGATTTTATAATCTTTTTTACCTTTAATAATCAAAATGTGATTGGGTAAGAAAGATTAGAGAAAAAAAAATTGAAAAACGAACCATTATTATTCTAAAAGAAATTAATTGCATCATCATTTAGTAGCGCGTGTTTCGTCCTCTTGCCTTCACTACTTCTTGAAGACGCCTCGGCATACTTTCCACCAGTCGGGAAATGTCCCTTTGCTGGAGGATAGCCCATTCCTCCCGAAGAGCCCTTTCAAGATCCTGCAATGTATCAGGAAGTGTTGCACGCGCTCCAATTCATCTTCTGAGGTTATCCCATAAATGCTCAATGGGGTTCAAATCTGGAAAACTTGTTGGCCAGGCTAAAACCTCAATATTGGTCTATTGAAGGAACGTCTGCACTATGTGGGCGTGCATTATCGTGCATTAGAATAGAACGATCGTCGATTTCGTTGAGGATAGGCAACACATGAGGTTCCAAAATCTCATCTACATAGTGAATGGCCGTCAAAGACCCTCCAGGAACAACAACCAATTCTGTGTGGCGCTCCATTGAAATCCCAGCCCACACCATTAAGGAACCACGTTGGAAAGGTTGGCTCTGGGAAAAATTACAGGCTGGATATCTTTCGTTTCTTCTTCTCCACACCCTTTCACACCCGTCTGGAGATCGAAGAGCGAATCTTGACTCATCTATAAAAAGTACAGCACTCCATTCGTTCATAGTCCAATGGCTGTGTTCTCGAGCAAAAGCCAGCCATGTTATTCTGTGAGTTCTGGTCAACTCTGGTCCTCTTACTGGACGAAAAGCCATTAATCCATACTCATTTAATCTTCTCCGAGCGGTACGTTCAGAAATTTGCACACCTCGAACTTCTTCGAGCTGATGAATCGCTTGAACAATGGTAAGGTGCTGGTTTCGTAAAATTCTCAAAGTCAAAAACCGGTCATCCCGTGGTTCTGTTACCCTAGGCCGTCCAGAACCGAGCCTTCTATTGTAAGAACCAGTTTCCCGAAAACGCCTGACGGCATCTCATAAAGTTTCATATGGAACTCCGATGGCATTAGCTGCATATCCTATTGGAACATCCATCATCAATAAGTGCCACACCACGCGCAACATCCTCAGCACTTAGAGACATTTTTAAACTTAATACTGAAAAAATTAAAAGCCGGAGACTAAGAAATGTGCTGCAAGAAACGGCACTGAACTAATGATACTGAATAAACATTCTGATTCCATAGAAAGTAAACATTGCAATCTAGAATCATTTCATTTAATTAAGGATTAAGGATAATTGTCCTCTATATTAACATTCCTAATTGAAAACAAACAAAAAATTACCTATTTATTCATTAAAAACAATAGACCAATCCAAAGCAGAAATATTTTTAGATGAAAAAATCAAGTGGGTGGAATTTTTTGCCTGTCAGTGTATTAACTTCACCATCAATGGTACTCCAGCACTTACTAGACAAACACTCTAAACTTTCTATATATTACAAGACTCGTATACGTGACTATAATAAGGGCAATCTGGACTTATGGAATTGAGCTTTGGGGCTCTACTAAACCATCGAATTTATCTCATATCCACCAATCCTTACAAGCCGAAATCCTTTATAAAATTCTCAATGCTCCTTACTTTGTCACAAATAAAATCATTCATAACGACTTTAACGTACCAAATGTTTCTGATTGAGCCCAATCCAGATACCTATTCTTCCATAACAAACTTCAAAACCATCCGAACCCTCTTGTTTCACACCTTGCTTTTTTTTCGATACCTGATAATCCTCCAAGGCGTCTGCAAAGAAGATGGCCTCGTGATCTACTCATGTAAATATATTATTAGAGTGTTACCAATGGGTAGTTTCTCAACAAGCAATTTCATGTGATTGTATTATTACCGTGTGCACATTTACCGGATGTATTTTTAATTTATACAGTTGTAAATCTCATGAATAAATAAAAATTAAAAAAAACCATCAATGGAAATAGAGACAGGGATGCCGGGAATAAAACAGAGTTAGAATAGTAGGAATCATGTTGAAATCAAAGGGCTACATGATTTCTGTTTTGTACATTGTTGGTTCACCTCAAGCATTAATCATTGCCAGAAGATGATGAGGCATACTTCTTATAAGCATTTTGATGCTATCTTGAGGAGTCGTCTTTCATTCCTCTAATAATGCTGTGTGCAGTTCATCCAGAGCTTTTGGAAGGATATTCCATCCTGAATTCTGTCTTTGAAGTTGATCCCATAAATGCTCAATGAGATATAGGTTTGGAGAACAAGCAGGCTAATCCAGGCAACGAATTTCTTCATTTTGAAATAATGCATTTACGAGTTTAGCTCTAGAGGTCTAGAGTTGTCGTCCACAAAAAACGAATTCTGGGCCAATTGCTTCTGCCATAGATTATACTATTGGTGCTAAGACCCTGCCAAAGTAATGCTGAGCAGTCATAGTCTCATTTTGTAACACCGCAAGCTCTGTTTACAATCCCTATACCGGTGGGCTGGGGGTCTGGCATACCATGCACTCTTCCCACATCCCTATAAATTGCATATCGTTGTGTTCCTTGTAACTATTTATTAAAAAAAAAAGCCAATGTTCCCACAAAATTAGGGAACGAACTGCCACAAAATGGCGTCCGAACATGGCCGAATGACGACTTTGACTTCGGTTAGTTTTTTGGTCGCTGAGAATCAGCATTTGGCTTATTTAGTCATAGTTGGTCTTTTATTAATGCTGGATAGTTAAGGAATAATAATATTTTTCATGCTTTATTATTCCTTAACTATCTAGCTTTAATAAAAGACTAACTACGACAAAATTAAGCCAAATGCTGATTCTCAGTGACCAAAAAACTAACTGAAGTCAAAGTTGTCATTCGGCCATGTTCGGACGCCACTTTGTGGCAGTTCGTTCCCTTTTTTTTGTGGGAACATTGGCTTTTTTTTAAATAAATAGTTACAAGGAACACAACAATATGCAATTTATAGGGATGTTGGGGGGGGGGAGGGGGAAGAGGGTGCACGGTAGGAGGGTCTGGCCTACACCACACTGTAATTGAGCATCCTCCAAACGGGTAAACAGGCAAGACCAGGGAAGGATTGTATCGCTCACCTTCTTTAATACCCAGGAGAACTTTTAAAAAGGGTTAATAAAATATACTAAAAACGGTTATTGGAAAAAAATAGGTTTACAATAAATAAAGTGATGTGAACATAAGCTGTAAACAAACTAAACTGAGGATAATCCCCATTTTTGTTTATGTTAGTTTGAGTTTATTTCAAAAAAATTAAAATAATCAAGTGTGAACAATCAATAGGTGTCAAATTGGCAAAATATTCATTCCTCACAATTTAATAAACAGTTAATGCAATGATCCACTTCATTTGAAAATTAATATATTTTTTCCCTCCGAGGCGTCTGAAAAGAAGATGGCCTCGAGATCTCCTTTTGTAAATACATTTTTAGAGTGCTACCAGTGGGTAGTTTCTTACCAAATGATTTCATGTTATTATATTCTATTGTACACATTTACTGAATGTATTTTTACTTGTAATACAGTTGTAAATATCATTAATAAATAAAATATATTTTTTAATAATGAGTAGCTTATTTTGGATTAGGAAATCATTAAGCATGATATCGGAAAAGTCAGGAGGGAAGGAACGAATGTCAAATAAATATAATTACAACATAATCATCTAACACATAACAGTTGTAAAAATATTATGATTGGGTAACCTTTTAATAATAGCATGTTTCCAAATTAAACTCCGTTCAAACTTAATGCTAGTATGTTTCTCTGTTTCTGAAATATGTTTACACCTTTCAGTTTTAACTTCCTTAATATTTGAAACTGAAACAGGCTGCAGAGGTTTGAAGTTCACAAGTAGATCAGTAAACCTAAAAACCAAGAATTTATTTAATATTAAAAGTTACTAAGACAGGACAAATCAACCAATATATTTTCAGATTTACTAGAACATTTCAGATTTTATATCAAAATTTCAATCCATTCCTTTAAAGGTAAATGGATATAAGTTTAACTTTCATTTATTTAAGGTTATTATCAGAATAAACATTTTTATTTCCCTCATAGGCCTTATTCAGATTAAAATGATATATAGTTAGCACTAAACTATAATGATAAATATAGAAGCTGTGAAACTGATCATGTACATGTAAACATATCTTAATAATTAGTAAACTTCGATAGGAAATGAAACAATTTGCAAGAAGTTTTACTTTTCTGCTTAATTTGAATTGATTCCTGAGTGAGGGCTAATGGGCACCATAATCCATTAATTTTTGAAAGAAATGAAGAAGCATGAACAAAAGAAGCTCACTTAAGGCAAGGGAGGGTACAAAAAAGGATCCAGCTTCCTTCACCACAGGTAAGTAGTGGTTCCTGTCTTTCTTGTTTTTTCTAATATTAGAATTTGAGTAATGATTATACCTTGCTCTGCATAAAATGTAGTAATAGGTATAAGAAAAGTTGTGGAATATTATCTTACAAGTATAACTAAAAAAATTACACACATTAATTATTTGATACAGCTATTGTACTTTTGAAAATTCTTTCCTTAGTTCTGATTTGAATTTTTTCTATTTTATAAGCTATAAAGGATATTCTGAAACTAAGTGCATGTTCATATCACAGCAACAAGAAAACTGTAAGACTGCACTAGTTGATGCATTGATAACTACAATTGGGACATCAGTGTCATTGCAGCCTTCTCTATTCCACCCTAGTATGCCAGCAGGTGTTTTTTTATAAATCAAAAGGAAGAGTTTGTGCATAGGGAACTGTTTATAATGTATGCTTTGTGGGTTGCTGGTCCTTCATCGGATGCCTCCCCAGGTGGCAGATAGGGGAATGCCTCCCAGATACGAGTGGTACCGGGGAAATGAAATACTCGGGGTGGACCAAACTAGTACAGAGTAGACCAGTCGTAGTGAAGATAACATCTCTAGAGGAAGAGAAACTTGATAAAAAATCTCCTGATCCTCCAGGTTTGGGGTAAGGGAACGGACTAACGACCCGGCCCTGTAAAACAACCATTGTTACGAATACTTCATGAAGAAATAGCCAGAATGATTTAATGGTTCTAGGAACATGGAAAGTGAGAAGCCTTTTCCAGATAGAGGAAGTAGGAATTTTGAGCAAGAATTTTTAAAGTATAAAATAGATATAGTAGCACTCCGGGAAATCCGCTGGAAGGATAATGGGCTGGTTAACCAAACGGACTACCTTCTTATTAACAGTGGGTATAAACGAAACCAATTTGGGACAGGGTTAATGATAAGAAATAAGTTAAAACACTCCCTGCTGAAATACAAACCCATCAATCCACGTATCTGTGCGATAAGAATAAGGGAACTGTTTTTTAATATCTCTGAGGTTAATGTGCATGCCCCTACTGAAGATGTGGACGATGAAATGAAGAACGCATTTTGTGATGCCTTAGAAAGAACCTACAATGCTTTACCTGCCTATGACGTGAAACTTATCCTTGGAGAATTCAACGCAAATATAGGCAAAGAAGAACACTTCAGATCCACGATAGGGCTGCATAGCAAACAGAGGGAAACTAATGATAATGGGTTCAGCTTAGTGGATTTTGCTATGGGAGGAAGCATGGTGATGAGCAGCACACACTTCCAGCACAGGGATATTCATAAAGAAACATAAATATCATCAGATAGCAGGACAAGAAATCAAATAGATCATGTCTTGATTCAGTCAAGAAATACCACCTATATTCAAGACATCGGAAGCTGTAGAGGAGCAGTATGTGGATCAGACCACCATCTAGTCAAAATAAAATATAAGCATAAAATTGCGTTGTGGGTACGAGGAAGAGCAGAGCAGCCTCCACCTTGTTTTGATGTGGAACGGCTGAAGGACAAAGGTACAAGGCTAAGATTTTCTCAAGAGTGTCTGAGCTACTTGGGAGTAATGGGAGAATAAATTATGTCACCTCAAGGTGGACATATCAGAAAGAAGCCTTAAATAGAGCAGCTATGGAGGAGCTAGGTGAAAAACCAAGACCAGCAATAAACAATTGGCTCGATGAGGAATGCAGGACAAAACTCGAAGCAAGGAATGAGGCATAGGATGATTCAGTGTCACACCAGAAGTAGTGCCAAGGAGTATATAGTGACAAAAGAAAGGAAGCAAAGAAGATATGCAGGCAGAAGAAAAGAATATGTGAGAGGAAGAAGCTGGCAAATATTGAGGAGAAATTCAAAGACCATAATTCAGGGATTTCTTTGGATGTGTGAGACTCGAGACGGAAAGCTTTAAACCTCACCTTAGCTTTTGTAATAATAAAGATGGAAACTTGTTTACGGGTAAGGATCATGCCATGAATGAGTGGGCCACTGGAAGCTGACCTTGAGAGGATCCTGAACCCACAACCAGGGAAACTGGATGAGGATGACATCCTGCCGGACTGGGAGGAAATAGTAGAGATTGTGAGCAATATAAAGATGCATAAAGCCCCTGGGAGAAATGGGATTGAAGCTAAGCTGCTGAAATTCGGTGGGGACGAAGTATGGGAACAGCATGATCAGCTCATATATATCTGGTCAGAAGAAGAAGCATCTGAAGACTGGAAAGTAGCAGTTATCTGTCCTGTATAAAAGAAAGGTGACAAGCTCTGATGCTCTAGCTACAGAGGGATTTTTAGCCATTTTAGATCCGACTGGCAGACTCATTTTTTAAATATAAATATTTTAAGAAATTCTTTTAAAGTTTTAATCAAATAATGCCAATTTTTTATCACAGACTCTCGTACTATAATGAATTTTCCACTACTCTTCAAGCGTAAAATATTAAATTATAACAAATTTCTAGGCGATCAATTTATAGCTCTCTTATCCAATATTATGTTGTTTTTCTTTTCCTTTTGATTTACAGCGACAGTTGAACTCCTAAAACCTTCGTGTTTATGTCTCACTTATCGAGGAAATATTTTATTTCATTTGTTCTCTATGTAAGAATCACATTTATAGGGCCAATTTCATTCCCATTCTTAGTGTTAACTTCATATTTCTGTTTAGTAGTTTCATAAGAATAACGAAGAGCAAAAAGTTCTAGATATAAGAAAAATTCTATAAATATTTCCGACTGAAGACTGAAGAGTCTAATAATATCTTGGCTCAAGAATTCAACATCAATCTTGGAATTTGAAAAAATTGCGAATCTAATCGAGGCCATGTTGAATCATTTATATCCAAAAAACAACAACTATCTTTCTACTCATGACAAAATAAGTTCTTCTCAATATGATTTCCGCTATCAAACAAGGAGCTACCGAAAATATTATTTAACGGAAGGCCTTATAGCTAGTAACCATTTTAAATTCTAGATAAAGCTCATCTGAACTTAGGTCAGTCAGTTGAAAGCCGTTGCTTTCTATATGAAAATTTAAATTAACGAGGAGAAATTTAACGGTTCATTCAACGGAAAAACTGACGCCTGAAATTTTGATATGACGTAAAGAATATTTTCCTAAAATATAATTTACCTTGACTGACAACGTCAAATTCAGCACATTAGGGCAATCGGTTTCACTTACCCGCATATTACGACTCTACATAAGCATGAACTATGTAAAGCCTCCAACGTTCTCCTTCAGTTAACCAACAAATAGATGTATACTTACAGATAGAAATAGTATTGTTATATTTTTATTTTTTAAAAAGCACTGTATTAACTCCATTTTGCTTACATTTTGTTCATTACCCTTGTTTAATTCCAATATAATGGCCAGGGATGTTATTGACAGTGATAAGTGGATAGACATAGGTTATATAACAATATAAATATAAGATGGTCAGGTCTCTTAAGGTTGTTATAAATGACATTCACTGTATATTAATTCCAATTTAAAAAGAATATTTTCAAACTAAAAACATTTCTTGACTTCAACAATTTTCCTCTAACTTCTCCCTGACTTTTCCCGGTTTGAAAATTCCCTGACTTTTCCAGGTTTTCCAGGTCAGTCGCCACCCTGATTATCAACTAATATTAATCCTTTTTTACTTTCACTTCCCTATAAATAAGCATACATATTTATACTAAAAGTAGTGTGGTAAGTGAAAGCTGTGTGATGCATGCACCCTACCAGATTTGTTATTATTAGCAATTGAAATATCAATCACACACCCAAATTTATTTTATACCAATATAAACTAATGGACTAATTATAAACACTATACTTACTCATACAAGTATTTATTACTGTCATAAAAAGTTGTTTTAGAATGGCTTAATGAACAACTTTTAACAGGTGTTATTAAGTTAGCCTTGAGAAACTGCCTTAGTAATCGACAGCATTGCTCACGTGATATAGTAGGATTGAACATAGGGTTCGAGCAGAGAGCATTCAGTAGCAGAGTTACTGCTTCGTTGCCACTAAACGAATTTTTATGTTTATGAAATCTGTGCCGGTGCTCTTTAAGTACCATATTATCACGGAATAAAAGAACTGCTTCATTCCACTGAAAATAAAAATAGGAATTATACGATTTTCATAGACATGGAATTGTTAAGAATGAAAAAGAAAGCAATAAAGTCTAAAACAATACAATAACAAATTAAACAAATGTATAAAAAACATGAAGAATAAAATAAAAAGTGTAAATAAACTAAATTTGATTTATAAAATCAATTGTAAGCAATGCACAGATAAATTTTGTGTTAGAAAAACATCTCAAAATTTGCATAATAGAATTAATCAGCATAGCATTATGAATAACCATCATTTAGATTATGAGAAAATAGATATTTTAAATAGGACAGAAGATAATAAAATAAGTGAATTTCAAGAATCAATTTATATAACTAAAAATTAAAAAAAATGTTATTAATTTCAAAATTGATATTAAGGAGATTGGAAAACATTATGTGGATATAATAAATAAATTAAATTTTAAATAAACATTATAAATAATTATTTATAGATAAATTATTAATATTAAAGAAACTTGAAATAATTTTAAATGCAGTAGTCTTAATCCCTATGAGCAAAATAATGGTATGTAAGCTCACAGGTCACAGTGGACATTCAGCTTTTTCATGAAATACTAGACGATAAAGTCTATAACATTTGAATAGTTTTTATATAATTTTTATTTAGACTTTTCTCCGATAAATTATGTAATAAATAAGATGGTTGATAAATATTCAGGACATTATAAAGTTTTTAATAGTGCGAATGTTTCAACCAAAACATGTGGATGTGGGTCATCATCAGGACTGAACATTTTTAAATACAAACATAAATGTTACCTCCCTCCCCCCTCTGACTATGTTTACCTACTTTTTCCTATCTGAAAAAGCACATCTGGGAAATCCTCCCCCGACCGCTTAACTTACCTACCAAAGTGTCAGAATTCGAATACCTCCAGTGCTCGAAACATGTATAAATTGGTATATGGATTATAAATTGGTAAGAGAAAATATTAAATTTTTTATAAATTGATTATATACTTTATTTTTAGTTTGTATAACTTTTTACATATTTCATTTGTATATTTCAAGTATCATCAATCACTATATTTTTATTATTAACCATTATCTGCCATATAATATCATATCTCTGATTGTATTTAAAAATGTTCAGCCCTGATGAAGACCCACACGTTTGGGTTGAAACGTTAATAAAAATTTTATAATGAATATTTATCACCTATGATATGTAGAACAGTCAACTAATTTCCTTCAATAATAATAAATAAGTTTTTAATATAATATATAGTATATGTTTGGCCTTTTCTTAGATGTTTTTATTTTAGATCTTTTAATTTTTATAAAAGAAGATTGGATTTTTGAATGATAATTTAAATTTTAAAAAACATTTTTGTCAATTTTTGAGATAAAATAAAACTTTTAGTGGATTATATAATCATTTGTAAGTATAAGTCTAATTCATTAATGGTGATATTAATAGATTTTCTGTTTTATTGTTAATGTGCTGATACACAATTTTATACATATATATATATATATATTTATAATAATGTCATTTACATTATAGATATCATTCTTGACATGACAATGGGCAAAGTTGCTCGAAACATCATTAAAATGCAAAAATGAAAAATTAAATAAAGTTTTTATGAAGCAAATAAGGATTATAAAATATATTCCTCGAAATAATAAACTTTATTTTAAAAAATATAAAACTAATAGTTATCTTAATAACTGCATTTTATCAACAAATGGGGACATAAATTAAAGATAATAGTAATTTTAATTGAAGGAAAAAAATAATTAAAAACATGAAATTTCGTGTAAAGTAATTTTTATAAACAAATGTACAGAAGTTTAAACCATAGGATACAAAACATATATGCCTGAAGTTATTTTGAATAATTATTCATTTTTTATTAATTAGAAAAAGTTTTGTAGAAATATATCCACTAAAGGTAAAATTGCATTACGAAAACTAATCATTTCAATAATATAAAAGCAAACAAAAAAATTATCAATCATTCAAGTAATTTTTCTAACATTGTGTTTATTTTAACAGTCATAATTAATAACTAAAATAAGAATAAATGTAAAATACACGGAAAATTCCTTTACATTTTGTTTAATAAATCATTACCTTTCACAATTTAAATCTCTCAAAGATAATAAACAATTTATGAGATGAGTAAAAGATCAAAAAAACAATCTGAATTTAATATAATCAAAATTAATTCTTATCTTACCAAAGCCGTAGCCCTATATGGTCCGCTGTAACAATCTGTCATCCTGGAATAACTTTTCTAAATGAAAAAATTAAATTTAAAAAGTAATACATTAAAAATAACAACAGGTAGTTGTTTACAAATTTGAAACTAACGGTCTTTCGGTAATTAAGAAATCGATGCAAACAACGAGGTTATAACTTGTTATTTCTACTAAGCAAGAGAAAAAGAGAAACATTAGTCCTGGTGCCAGGGTAGAAAGAGGGTAATCGTATCTCCTTGACTATTAATAGTAGTTTTCATTAATTTCTCTTTAGTTTATAAATAAATGTTTGTTATTTCAGTCAGACAGAACTTTAAATGTATATGTTTGTTATTCTTGAGGCACTAAAAGCCTCAGAATAAAGATAAACTTATCTTTCTTTTTTTTCTTTCATAGCAGGATTGTGAATTTGAGATTGGACTTAAAGAAGGAAACTGTACGATGTTCTAAATAAAATAGACCGCATCTTCGTTTCCAAAGGTGCTAATTTCAAAAATGTTGGCTGACATAATAATATTAGTACAGCCAGTAGAAGATGGGAACGGCTACATTACAATTCCCTATTTTGTATCACTTATAATTTAATTACACCAATAAACGAAAATATCCTAAATCCGGTTGGCAATTCAAAGCAGTAAAATAAAAAGGTAATCTTAAAGGACCCATATGCATTAAGGGTACACATTCAAGGTGCGTTTAGATATTTCAAAAATTATGAGACAAACAAATGTATAAATGGTTATTTCACTATGCTAGTATTTTTGTTTGTTGTTTTTGATATTTTTTATCTGCTGTTGCTTAGCAATAATGCCGCTGTTAGTTAAGTTGAATAATTTTGTTTCCCATAGTTTGTGAAGTGTCTAAGCGCCCAAATTTCATTTTATAGTTTTTATTTTTACGTATTTTGAAGACAAAGCAAACCTGGTTTCGTGTTGCGAGTTTGAATATTGTAAATTTAAATTTGCCAAAACACTTTCATATATCGACGGACCTCCTTCAAAACGGACAAATCTTCAAATTTGCGTACTTGTTTGTGTAGTGAGAAAGTACGAGTAAGAAAGTTTGTGAGCAAGTTCGAGTGGGTATATGCGGTCGGTGCAGTGTGAGGTCCGTTTTTTATTCTCTCATGACCTTCACAATGGTCCGTCGATATATGAAAGTGTTTTGGCAAATTTAAAGTTACAATATTCAAACTCGCAACACGAAACCAGGTTTGTTTTTTCTTAAAAGTACATAGAAATAAAAACTATAAAATGAAATTTGGGCATGGTTATGAAAATTAAAACTAAGTATGTGATTGGTTACGAAAAGGGAGTCAAACCAAAAACTCGAGGAAACGGTGATAAAAACAGTAATACAACGAGAGCGGCGAGTGCCATAGGACTGAAAACAAATACATCCTAATAGTCTCGTTCATTTTGATATCGTCTCTCTAAGATGGAGGATAGATCATGAACTCTTTTGAAACTGCTAATAGGTGAGAACTGGTCCGTCGTGTGTAAACAATTTCTAGACATAACCATTGGAGATTCAACCTCAGGCTTGTGGTCCGTTTCGATACTAGTGCTGAGGGTGTTCTCGGCTGGATGTTATAAAGAAAATGTCATCCTGAATCAACACAATGATTTGTGAATGGAGGATATATTTCCAAGGATCTGCCAGGAAAATTCAATAAAGGGATGACGAAATTTTCAAAAATATGGCCAGTCCTATGCTGCGCTAAAGCGGATGAAGCTTGGCGGTCGAAATTTTTCGACTAGATACCGCGGAATATATGAATGCTGGGAAAGAGTCAGGTAGTTATTTCTATAAATAATGAGGAGAAGGGAGATGGTAAGATGTTTACTCTAATCAGAGGTAATGGAGACTTAGATAGCTTACTGGAGAACAGTCTTGGTCATTTTTTGAACGACAGCAGGACTGGTATAAGGCAACTGCTAGAGGTGATTGATAATTATCTCCCCTAATAATGGAAAACTGTTCCGGAATAGTGGAGCATACTATCGCCATAGGAGATGAGAAGCCAATCACTGATTGTTTTCACAGAGCTCCACATGCTCTACAACCGATTGTCAAAGAGCAAGTAAAGTTTTTTTTTTGTGTTTAGAAAAAGGAGCCGTCGATTGGTCCTTGGTCAGAGCGCACTTTTATAGTGAAAAAGAAAACAGAGCCCGAAAAACCTCATAAATGTCGTTTTTTGCACAGAGTTTGAAGTCTGTCACAATGATGTACGAATTTCCTATTTTTAACATGAGAGAGACTCTGGTTCGGTTGTAAAAAGGTATTTCAAGACAATGGACTTATAAGCTGTTTCCACCGGATTCGTAAGCATAAAGAGGGCATTGAAAAGACTGCCTTCAGTATGACAGTTGACCACTAGGAATGTCTCTAAATATTAGGGAATGTCTGGATATAACCAGACATTTATTAAGGGTTGAGTAGACCGAGCTCTATCTCTCATGGGGATGACTAAATATAACGATGTGATAGATTGGATGTATAAGAGATTGAGAATTTTGGAGGATATAAAACAATTCTCAAACACCACCCAAACCTTACTTACCTATAATCTTGTTTAACTTTCGAACTGCATTGGATAGGCAATGAGTTAGTCGTGCCTTGTTCAAGACCTGGCGCAATAGACGCAGCGATGATCAAGTTGGGTATCCCTCAAGGAACAGTTGTTGAATATCTTCAATGTCTTCTTGGTAAAGGCACACCTTTGTATTGAATGGAACGTCGTTGGTGTAAGACTGTTCTTCAAGGGAGGAGGCAATGCCAAGGAGTTATCTAATTCTTATAGGCTGATCTGCTTCCTCTGGGTATCCTCTGAGTAATGAGGAAGGTCTTAAAGCGCCTAATTGTGACGAGCTTGCGGCCAACACTGGTATCACCTACGGCAGCACGTAAAGGAACTTTTATCATATTTTGGTGTTGAATCATTACTTATTTAAGATTGTTATATTGTTTTACTCATTACATTTGCAGAAAATAATCAGAAACAGAATGTCGGAAGAATCCCGAAGATTTTTTGTAGTATGATTAATTTCGGCCTAAAGTTTATGCTTATAATAATCGATAAAAACCATAAAAAATAACAAAGATACATTTATCCGATAATATTAAGTAAACTAAAAGAATTACTCAAATATAAGATTTTAAATCTATTCAGTAATATTTTAAAATAAAGTGCGTGCCATTCTTCAACACGGTAGAATATTTTTTCCTGAACTCAACAACACTAAAATACTATGTTTATTGCAGGAAACAACTCCTATAATTCTGATGTTTGGGTACCGATTAATTTTAATGACTAGATTAGAGGAAAGTAATTCAATTACAATTTGGTCACCAAGTTAGGAAGCTTCAATGGAGTTTTTCACAAACGTCATGACTTGAGCTTGTTAGTAATTTGTCCAGTTTCAAGGATCGAATAGTCTAATACACGGGCGATCAGGAAAAATGTCTAGTAGGTAATTCTTTGCTGGCCAGCGAGGTGCTTATTGTAGAGTCGATGGCAAGGAGTCCTCAGACCAGGTCGATTCATATATGAGTAGTACATAGATTTTCCAATCATCCGTATACGATTCGTCCACTGAAAGTCTTTTAAGTTTGAAAGAATTTCTTAACGCAAGACATAAGAGATAAAACTCTTCCCGTGGCTCGTCAAAAGTTTTGTGTGGCAGTCTATCTCTGTAGCTCGAGGCGTCTCAAACCGAGAAAGATTGTCAATATTGCATGATAAGATACAAGTTTTAGAATGATTAAATAATCTTAATGTAGCAAATCTAGATAATCTGTAATATTAGGAAAGGCAATTTAAATAGATTTTGGTGGCTCAACTTCACTTTATTAGTCAAAAGTTAACGTTTTATTTTTCTAGAAATTCTCGTTATTTTGGGAGAATCTGTAAAATTTATTTTATATTACATTCAATCCTGAATTAACAACAAAAATTTGATATGGACATCTAAACTTTTACATTAGGATAAATAAAATCCTAATGTAAAAGTTTAGATTGCATTAAACTAAGGTAATTGATTAATTAAGGTAAATAATACATTATTAATGATTATTATTATTATTATTAACCAAATAAAAATGTGGAACATTAGATTAAATTTGCAATCTGCAAATTTCTTTGCAATAAGCAAATTTTTTAGCAGCTTCACAGCTTCCCATCACGTACGGGATATAAATCAAATCAGCAGGTCTCTTGGCCAACGCCTACGTAATCGTCGTGGTGGGCTGTACGGGTTTCTTGTACGATGAAGGATTTCTGTCAGAGGATTCATGTTGTACGTCAGTCTTTGGTGAAAGTTATTGTAGTTCTCTTTTGCAGTATCTAAAATTGTAGGTACGTTTAAGTCTTTATGTAGTGTGTCATTTGCGACATAAAAAGGTGCGTCAACTATCCTTCGCAACACTTTTGACTGAAAGGACTGAACTTTTTTAATGTTGGAAGTTTTAGCAGAGCCCCACAGTTCTATGCCGTAAGTCCAAATAGGTTTAAGCAAGACTTTATAAAGGGTTATTTTGTTAGTTAAAGATAATTTTGAACGTCTGTCAAGTAATCTGGATAAGAGACCGTATCGTCTGTTTAATTCTATTCGTTTTTGTCTGATGTGAGTCTTCCAAGTAAGTCTTTTGTCCAGGTAAAAACCTAAATACCTAATTACATCTGATGTTGGGATTTGAATGTTATTAAAATATATTTCAGGGGAAGGTTTATGGTTAAGAGTGAATACCACATGCACACTTTTTTTTTCATTCATCTTAATTTTCCACCTTGTTGCCCAGTCTGCAATATCGTTCAGATGATTTTGAAGGATGGTAGATGCTCGAACAGGGTTTTTATCTGAGCTTAGTACTGCGGTATCGTCTGCAAAAGTAACCAGTATTGTGTCGTTGTGTTCCGGTAGGTCAGACATATATATATTAAACAATATTGGTCCAAGGACACTACCCTGAGGCACTCCTGCTTTAATAGGTTTGATGTCAGAACGTTCTGTCCCTACTT